TCAGAATTGTTAGAAACTAGGGTTTGCAGAGTTTATTTTAGCAAAGCACTTAAACACATACCCTTAAGGGTTTTACTTAACCTTTATGTGTGTTTTCACAAAATTCTCTTCATCTAAGTGCTTTGCTAAAAAGGGATGCAGTTATTCATATGTCCATGTGAAGTGTGAGGTTCAAGTCTTTCCCCAAAGCACAACAATAAAACTGAAAAAAATATTTGCAGTCACTATGACAAAGAGTCGACAGGAGGGAAAAAAAACACCACTCTCTTAAACACAGCTTTGATAAACTGAGGTTTCCAATGGAATATATGCTTTGCAGCAATAATATCAGCAGCTGTGAGGTAGCAGCATATTTCATGCAGCAGTGGTAAAACAATTGGAGAAGGATTTTCCAGTAGATAGTTAAAAAATTATCTCATAGAGAAGGCAGACAATTTAGGCTTCTTTTTCGTCTCCTTAAATAATTCAGATTTAATGCAGCAAGAAAAAAACGCCCCAAAATCAGGGATTTCTGATTCGTGCAAATGCAGATATCTGTATGATATAGAATCATAAGCAAAGTCAGCAGATGAGAAAATTATAGGATGTGTTTTTTTCTGCAGTGTTCACTGTAAATTAGAGCAATTAAATTACAGCAGTTTTGTAGCTGTAATTAAATATAGAGATGGGCCCAGAAATGTGGAAAGCACTGAACTGCCAGAGCTGCTCAGGCTGCAAGTGGCAGCAATGGTGAAAGGGGCTTGGAAAGGGGTCCTGATCCCACAGCAGCTGATGGGGGGCAGACAGGCCTCTAGCACTGCATCAACACATCTCGTAGGTGGTCTCTCGTGTGGTCAAGGGGGGGCCTGCCACGCTTGTCCTCTGCCTGTGTTTTTGCCTTTCCTGGGGCGCTGACCACAACAGCTGCAGGGAGGATGCCCAGCTGGCACATACCCTGGGTTGGGAGCTCCTGCAATGATTTCCCCCAGGTAGGTAAACTGGGATATATAAGGCCACGTGATTGCAGAATCCCTAAGAAGTTGCTTTGTGAAACTGCTGTGTTTCATCCATTAATCTTTCATTTTACATTGCTAGTCAAGTCAAGACTTGAGCCACAACTAAAGGTAAATGGGATGGAGGCAGGAGGCTTGGACTGGCAGAGGGGCTGACCACAAAAAAGCTCACACTCCCTTCACCAAGACAGCAGAGAGTCAGGAAAGGCTGGAGCATAGGGGGAGGTACAGATAATGACAGCAAATGTATTTAATTACATTGTGGGAGAGGTGGAAATGAAGTCTTCCTAGGAGGTTATAAGCTAAATACAAAGATAAGTGAAAGGAAAGAAAGCACTGGGGGAAAAGAGCAAGGAGGACAAGACCATGGAGAAGTGGGCAAAGGAAGCTGTTCAGGAGTTAAGTTGATGTAAAAGCAGTACAAGAGGAGACTTAGATGGCTGGAAGTCACTACTCATCACCAGGATGAGGAGGCCCTTAGCAGGTACAGCCAGTCCAACCCTTGAGTTTTTCTCCCACGTGGTGGATGCTTGTGCAAGAAGAGGGGCAGGGATGTGCTGTGGTGTGTGTTGATCGTGGCTCTGGGGCCATAAGGGAGTTGGAGGAGGAGGTACATGTAGCAGCCCTTTGTCTTCAGTCTCTGGTAAAGGGTTGCTACTGGAGAGGAGAGATGAGAGTTTCAGCCTCCTCATGGTTCATGTGTTAATCTCATGCTGAAATATCACTCTGCAGATTTCACCCAAGTGTAGGATTTAAGTATGGAAAAGATGATTGTGTATCCCAAGGTGTATTGGTAATAATGAACACCAGCAGCTGGGTAATGCCTAATCTCTCATTCAAGCTGCTGGCAAATATTCATTATTATTTTGTTAGCTGCTGGTTTTGATAATATTATATTTTATAATATCTGAAGCAGCTGAGTTTTGTTATATTGCTGCAGTTTGGTGTAATTATTCTCCATCACTGTAATTTTTCTTTTAGTTAAATGCATTGAAGGTTATAAACTGTTAACTATCAACTGTAAATATTCATGGGCAGTGAGAATAGTTCTAACTACCATAAAAGCTTTTTCCCAGTACTTTTGGCTAGTGCTCTATATTTACACAGGTTGCTTTTCTTGTGGTGTTTTGGCATAAGTAGAACAAACCATAATATGCATATTACTTCAAACAACAGTCAGGTCCCCTACATTCTGCTGTGTTGAGAATTCTGGGCTCTTCCACAAAGGGCAAGAAGGAGAGGTTCCCCAATGTGAATGTGCTATAAAACAATATTGTGTTTCCCTTAAGAATTGCAGTGATAAAAACATAGACCATTCTGCAGCAGTAGCAACTTTAATAAAATAACATAAAGCACAGCTGTCAGGTCTGCCAGCATCTCACACTGGGAGACATGAGTGAGAAAATGAACACTTTTCACAAGCAGAAATATTCAAAGAGCTCCACTGTTTACATGTAATCAAGACTGACAGTCATAGATTATCGGTGGAAGAGCATTTTCTGCTTGAGGTGAAAGAAGAGGATAATTTATCAGGAAGCCCAAGAAGTCAGACATCAGTAATGATCTGCTTGAAGAAGGGCATATCTTAGAAATAGCACATTTATTTGTACTGCAAGGCAAGAAGATGTTCTAAGTTATAAACAAGAGTCTTAGTGCTTGAAGAATGTTGAGCAGATACATTGGGTAATTTGCTGGGCAACTGCGATTAGAGAATTGACTAATGTGTGTCTTGCTGCTTGTTCAGAATATTAAAAGAAAAAGTTAGCACAATGGATATTGTCTAAAAGAACTGTTCATGCTCTCTCATCCTGTTCTCTCCTTTTGGAGTTATCTGAGCTACACTGATCTGGTTGCTTACCCTCTTGTTAGATTCTGAGACACTTCTGTAATACAACAACAGGTTTGGCTTCACAGAATTTGGGGCTTACTGAGTGTTGCAGTTGGTTGTTTGACTTTCTCAGTGTGTCCACAAGATCGGGGTGCACCTTTTCAGTATGAGAGGTTCATGATGCCTGTGTGGAGAGCAGGCTGAGGCTGGGGAGGTAGGGCTGCTGAAGGAGGCTGGGGTTCCAGGAAAGTTCTAGGATTCATTGCTGCTCCCCATATATCTGTTTTAACCTTAAGTCAAAGATTGATTATTTTTAAAGGTTAGCTGTTATGTAGCAAAAGAAACCCTCACCTTTACCAACTCTGAGAAGTCACTGTGGTCTGCAGCTTCACAGTTTTAATTTAGACAACAACAACAGACATTGTAAGTTAAGACTCCTTATTACTACTCACTTCAGTTTCTTCAAACTAGAAAAAAAAAATCACAACCTATGAGTCACACCCCCACTTTACTGGTCTCCTACTGGAGTCAGCTCTCACCTGGGCTGTGCAGAAAAAGGATAGCAAGGGAGAACAGCAGCCAAATCATGTCACTAAAAGCAATTCTTGCAGGTTAAACAAGGAGACCTTGAGGAACAGGGGCTGCCCTCTCTTGCCTTCTAGCTGTTGCCTGCTGTATCTCCTGCTGGTGCTGGGTCAAATGAGCAAGACACTGCTTTTCTCAGAAAACAGCTCACACCTCAGTCAGACAATTGATTTACCACCACTCACCTTGTCCTGGTGCATCCTCTTGTGAAGTGTGAGCATTCACAGTCCATGGGAAGTACAGGATGATGTATGCTCTTCCTGATATCTCCCTCTCATTGCCAGGTCAGCTGTGGTACCCACCCACCCTATCAGTGTGTACACTGGGTGAGAGCAGGCACATGGGCACAAAGGGTGCCTGTTGACAGTGTGTACACTGTTCCAGTTCCTGGCTGTTAAATCTTTTTCTCTAATTCTGTACAAGATGGATTTATAACACACCCAGTGCTAATGTAACAATGAAGATTAGTCCTTTACTAGTCGAACAGTAATACACTTTAATTTGCCTACAGCTACTGTATTGTATTGGCATGAAAGGAAATAGCTTTCTAATGCAGCTTCATCTGCTGAGCAGGGAGAAATCTGCACTGCAGAATGTAAAACTACATGGGACTATAGCTGGCAGCAAGATTCCAAACAGGAGAAACACAGCACAAGTAAAAGTATTTGTGAGTTGGAGGTATGCTAACAATCCTAGTTTATTGCTAAACTTGCCATATACAGTTATGCAGTTTGCTTGGCAGGTTCATGATTGCTTCCTCTTTTTCACCACTTCATCTTCTATACAAAAATTTGTCCTGGAATAAAAGGTGTAAATTCATTAGTTTCCAACTTTGTTTGTGACATTAACAAAAACTGGATATTATAAAGCTCCTCAGAATCTGGTGCTGTTAATACATTCTGTGCCGTGCTCTGTACCCAGAGACACACTGGGAATCTCAACACTTAAGCTGTTAAGCAAATGTTTCTGCTGTCTGTTGTAAATGCAGTGTTCACTTGACAAGTGTCAGGCGTTCTTTCAATGGACATGTGTACAAATAATCACTCAAGTGCCAGTATTTACTATAAATAGAACTCTCTTCTTCAGGAAAGCAGCAAAGCCATCAGCTTCTTCCTTCTTTTTGAGTGGCAAAGGAAAACTTATCATGTTTGGGATAATATCACTTAACACTTACTGCATACGGGATAGAACTTTTTTTGTGGGCATATTGTGCAAGTTAGATGTAAAAATTATATGTTTCACTTATTTTTGATCTCTTTTTTCCAATAAATCACCAGTTTAATATAATTATGCTTAAAATAACAGGTTTTTTTTTCTACAGGGATGTTTCTCACTTTCAACAAGGGCAATGAAGAACTAATAACTTGCATGCAGAGAGGGAATCTATCTCTTCTGAAAACTACTGATGTAAACTGCTGGTGGGAAACTGTCACCACTCTCAACCAGTAACCTTCACCCTCCACCTCTTCATCACCAGGTCCTGCAGACACATGGAATAGTTAGAATGGTTTGTGTACAGACATGCCTTGAATTTGACATTAAAACTGGAAAAATAATATTAACAGATTTTTTTTTCTTCTTTCTCCCCCAAAAAGTTGCAACGACATGACAAAGAGGATTCCCCCGACAAGTGGAGGACAGAAGAAGAAATGGTAGCTGAAGCAGCAATTCTGAAGAAGTATTTTCAGGACAATTAGAGGTAATGACTTTTACACTGACTTACTCCTGCAACACCCAATACTCTGCTCAAGCCTCCCTCCATAGGCAACTTGAGGACAGAGGGGGAATATGTAGAATGGAACAAAGGAAACCAAAGCTCTTAGGTTGTGTTCTTTCCAAAAGGACACAGCACTCCAACAGTGGCTGAAATAACATGCTCCTTCTTGAACAAATCAGCACCACCCTAGAGAATTTTATTTCCAGACAGCAAAAAAAAAAGTGTATCTGGAAATTAGAATCATCAGTGTTTACTTAAGAGGAGTGTCTAACCTAACATATCCTCCCTCTGGTTTTAAAACTGAAAATAGGCCTGGTACCTCTATGAAGAGCTAAAAACTGTTGTGTCTGTGTATAACCAGATATGGATATGCACCTATACATACAAAATCCCAGCAGAATCCATACTATAGAGTGTTGTAAGCAAGTGCTAACTTAATCTGTCAAATCTTAAATCATCCGATCAGTTCAACTTTAAAAATTAAGCCTGCTGGAAAACTCCCTGTTCTGCTAAATTTTCCACTGGCCCTAGAAGAAAAAAAGATTTGCAGGGAGGATTAGAAAAGAGAAAACACTTGGCAAACACTAAGACTGGTGCTCTAGAAATTGAGAGTTTTTCATTTTGTACTTGGAGTCCCAGAAGCCAGATTCTTGCAGCAGAAATGAACTGGCCCCCGGAGATCAATATGAGTTACGCTGGGATGTGCACTGCAGCAGGGATGCCAAAAGCTCCCTCTCCCCTGTTCCCCATATGTTGTTTGCCATCATCCAGCACTCTCATTTCTCTGTCATTTCTGACTGTTTCATATTTTTTCCTCTCAAGAACCAAAATCCCATAAATATCCCTCCTTTCTGCCCGTGACTCATCGCTTGCAGCCCGGCTTGAGAAATCTTGAGCTGAACTACACGCTGTGCGCGTGGCACACTTATGTGGGAGCTCCCATCTCCTGCCCCATTCTGCCATCTCCGTTTGGGTGATGTTTGGATGACTCCATTTGGAGTCCATCAGACTTTCCCTTCCATTTTTCCTTGCATGATGACCATGCTCTTGTCTTCTCCAGCCAGACTGGCTGTGCCAACCATTCTGCAGACTGGCATGGAAAAAGCTGTGTAACACATGTAATTCCCATCTACGAAGGAAATCTGTCCTCAGCAGCTGGGGCCTAGGGACCTCCAGGGTTTGGAGCAGCAGGGTTTGGACTACACAGTCAGGTTTCTGCAGTGGCTGCTGGAGTTGTGTTTAGACACCCACTTTTCACCTTCTCAGAAATATGCTCCTCAAGAATGAATTACTCAACCAGAAAGAGCATATCCTTAGGTAATGCATGTGTAAGCACTCTTCTCTACTAGCAGAGGCATTATGAAGTGCTTCATCTATGGCACAGCAACAAATGAGCAGTACTTAGGATGAAATGGCACATCCCTATTCCAATGTGATATTATTTTCCATTATTTATTTGGTAGTTTTGGGGGAATTTTTTTTTTTTTTTTTTTAATCTGGTCAGAAATGAGGTGGAAATGCTTTTTTTCTAGAGATTCTTAAAGGGATTGCAATTAAATCCCCACGTGTTAATAAAATGTTCTTTATCTCTACTGATACTAAACGCAAAGCTGGATAGATGGTGTAAATTCATTCCTGCGAGCAAATTCCTGTGGCTGAACATATATTTCTATTTATTATGAAAATAAATCAGGATGTGTCTGTGTGGATGACCTCTTGATAAGTTTCCTGTGATGTAAAAGTCATTACCTTTCCTAAAACAAACTGGGAAATTAAATCTTTCTGGCATCATTATCATGAGAGTATTGTGCCTAGTACAGGCAGTCCTTCCAACCCTTCATTCCCAACACAAGGCATCACTGTCAATCTCTCCTCCCTGACATTGTTTTGCTCCTGAGGTTTAAGGCTCTGAACCTGAGGTAAAGGTATATCTGAGTACCTTCTCGACCTTTATCTACTCTCTTAACCTTGCTTCTAAAGTGATGAAGATTGAAAGCTTTTGGCAAATTAACAAGGTTATATGCATCCTTCTTCAAAGCTATTTTTGTATTTCACCTACAAAGGATTTATTTAGCCATTTATAGGTTTACCTGAATGCCACTTGACTTGAGGTTTTTTTCATGCAGCACAAGGAAAGTCAGAAAGAGCTGAATGTGGGTGTTCTGGAGCCAATAAATAGCAATTTTTAAGGCCTCATGCATTATTATATTTTCTCTTGTTCAAAGTAGCCCAGCTCAGCTAGATTAGCCTGGACAGACTGAGCTGTGTTTCAGGGCTTTTCCAGGTACCCTTACATTTATCACAAGTCCTTCACCACCTGTCACAACTCCTACAGGACTTGACTAGGCACAATAGCACCTTCTACCTGTATTTATAGACTGTCTGATCAAGAAGGACTTACAAGTGCCTTTTCTTTTTCCCAAGAAATACTTGAATAAGGCAAGAAGCCTTTGATTCTCTCCCTACTGCATTTGCTGGTGCTGATCCCTCTTGGCTGGTTGACTAACTACAGTTGAGTGCTTCTACATCAGTCCCGAGACGATCCAAAATATCCACCCACTTGCTTAAAGAAGTGAACCCATTTAGCCTCACTAAGTTTACACCCTTGAGAAAATGCTTATCTCTAAATAATTTAATTGTATGTGCAATTGCTTAGAGTGGATGCAACTGAAATCAGTGAGTGAATTGGTGTTTTGCATGTGTTTCTGGTCTTTCACCCTGTGTCCCCCTGCCACTGTATCCTCATCTCATTAGAAGGACTTCACTTCTTGAACACCCCCAGAGAAAAACCTTTCTGGGGACAGGATATTTAATATAGAATGGCCCAAGCTGGTCACTCTCTTGCTTAATACTACCAAGATTTGACCTCTTTAGACCTCTTCACAAGCTGTTTCTCATTCAGTGTTGGCTGTCATATGGTCAGCTGTGTTTGATAACTGATTACCCTTTGAGGTGGATCCACAGGGAAAGAGTCTTTCCTCAAAGAGCAGGATTTGATGCAGCATCCTAATTTCTAAACCTATTTTCAGATGTGCCTTTTGAATTTTCTAACTGTCTATAGCTGGGTGTTTTGATAGTCTGTTTTGTGCATTTTAAATTGCACATGCCAGCAAAAAGGCTAAAGATTAAAAGAGTTACTAACCTTCAGATAGTATGTGAAAAATGTATCTCTTCAAAGGCAGTTTCACTCTGTGTTGTTGTTTCTGAAGGAAGAACCAGGCTGCACAAGTTTCAGTAGAAGTTTTCCTATTTTATGTGTAACTGAAGTAATACTTTTATGCCATTAGAAAAATAGTCATAAGCACAGTGTCAAAATGTCCCTTTGCATAAAGAGGTTGACAGTGATATTCTGTTGCCAAGTGCTTTTGGAGTTACAAGTGTTCTATAGCTTTTAATTACTTAACCATCTGAACATTTTGTGTAATTCAACATGCCAAATTCATGTAAAAATCTCTCCAAATAATGTGTCCTGCACATTCTTAACAGGATTTCTGATGTCAGTTCTTCCCCTTTTCCCCAGTCTGGCAATATTTCTGGGTAACATAGCCATTTCAGCTTTTCAAGAGAGTATAAATTTTATTCCTTTTTTCCCCCACTCATTCTTTGAGAGCACTCATCCTGCCTCCCAGCTGCCTGTTCTGCACCAAGATCTCGGCATGTGTGGAAAGATGCTGTTCTATTGACTTCAGCAGGGGAATTACCACTGTTAGTAGCAGCAGACCAGAGGGAATTGAAACTGGCAATTTGACTTGCATCTGATTTTGCTCCAGTGCCTCTGGAGCATGACAATCCATGCTGCATGCATGAGAGTGAACACCAGAGAAATCCCATCACTTTCCTTAAATTTAGGCCAGTATGATGAGTTGCAACACCCTTCTTTGCTTGTTTTAAGAAAATCCCTCCTATTATTTCTGCTACTTAAAACTGCATAACACCACAAAATAATGACTTTACCTTGGAATGGATCCAGGAGAGGATCTGGGACACATGCTGTGCAGTGAGAACACACTCTGCCCCAGAAGATGCTGTACCTGCAGTGTGGACCACAGGGCAAGTTGTCCCCTGGGTGGGCACCACAGTGACACTACAGGCGTGGTCAGAGGTATTTTCTGCAATAGATGCTACCTGTTGGCAAGCAGAGCCACCATGCAGTCATGAACACATGCTGTGGTGTGAAGGGGTGCAGCAAGCAGAGACCCCTTAGTAATTTCAGAGCCTCACTTTATAAGCAGGGCAAATTTTTGAGTGCTTACACTGGATTAGAATCAAGGTGGTTCCTGGTCCTGGGGAATTCCCAGAGAGCCTGATCTAGGCTGTTCATGGCTGCACTTAGGAGCTGTTTGTGTATAATTCAGAATTAAATACACATCATAGTAATCAGCTACAGATTTCTCTGCACTCCAGACTTAACTGTTATTAATTATATCCCCTACTCAAAAGCCTCCAAGAAGCATTAATTAGAAAGCAGGAGCTGGTGGTTTGCTTGTCTGTGTGAAACTATTATGACCCGAGAGTGAAGTATAAGTTTCAAAAGAAACATGTTTTATGAAGGTCACCTTGGAAAACATCATAACAATCTGTCAGGAGAAGAGAATGCAGCACTCCAAGTGTTCATTTCAGTGTGACATTATGCTTTAAGTAGTTGGAAATAGCAAAGACAAGATGGATCAGATCATAGGGTCTATGCTTTTTCACCCAAAATTCTCTTTTTTCTGCAGTAAGTACATATAAAGTAATCTCTTTGTCATTTCAATGGGACGCAAGGAAAGTTAATATCAACAGAAATCCACAGATAAACATAATCTGGCCCTCGCTGGTATTTTTGAAGTGTAAAACATCCAGATCCTCCACCTCTGCAGTAAGGAGAAGGTTTATACACAGGAATTACATTATCTCTTCAAGGGAAGATAGAAACAGCCAGAAGTGATGCAGCAGCTGTGTACAACAGTGATACCCATGCTGGAAGGCTCAGGGCAAAAGGCTTCCCCAAACAAATGTGGTGTGCTAATGCACAGCCACCTTCAGCATCAAGGCTGATTATTTTTCTGGTTGAAGCATATTATTATTTCTTATGAAAACAAAGCTACAAGAGAGTTAGCCAAAGTTATGAATGAAATGTCTTCCTCTTGTAGGAGGCCAGCATAGATATAATATCCCCCTCACACCTATTCCAGGGCTCTGTTTCGAGGCTGTAAGTAGTACTGTGCTGAAAGTTATACATCTCGTTCTCTGGACTTTCATTTCCCTATGGGTGTCCATTTAATTCAGCTGTCGAGTACATGAATTCTGTACAACACTGCTTGGATCCTGTAATTATAGCTCCAGTAGAAACATCGGGGCCAGAGACACAGACAAGATTGTACAGCACAAAGGCAAAGCAGCAAATGGTTACTGGTGGTAAAGAAAGCTGACAGAGAGCCAAATGTTCTCTTAATGTTCTCTTGACCTGCATGTCCAGCAACCTGAAGGCCTACTGGGCTGTCTATCAAATACCAAATATTTTCAGTCTGATCAGTTCTTGATTCATCATTAGGCTTTGTGTGTCACATTATGTGAGAGGAAAATGGGGAAAGTCAAGCAAAACTGGTGGAAATTGTGTCCCAGGACCTGGGATAAAGGAGCTGAAGTACAGGGCAATGCTGAGCTTCAAATGGGGATGATATCAACTGTGGTTAAGTACTTTTATACCCAAACCTCTGCTAAAATGGTGCTAATCTCTTGCCCCCAAAGCTGCCAAAGGATGCACTTACTGAGCAGCCAGACCCTCCTTGAAGCATATTCACAAAACAAGTGCGAAGTGATTCACAGGCTGCCATCAAACTGTCAGTCAGGAGGGGCACACAATGGAAACTGTTGCTCAAAATGCCATCGGAATCGGAAACATATGTTTCAGTGAGAAAAGACAATCAAACGAAGAAGTGGGTGGCTGGGGAATTGCAGCCACAACAGCAGCAAGGATCCGAGCCTCACATGCAGCCCCGGGCAGAGAGTTCAGGGGCCGTGCCCTCGTCTAACAGTCGGGGAACAGCTTTGTGTTTAATAAGCTGAAATAATTTCCCCAGTATTGAAGCCGGCTCTAAACACGTTCCGAAGTGAAGGTACAAAACTGAAGATACCAAGCCAAAAACCCATTTCATGCTCAATTATTAGCAAAGAGTTGTATCGTGGTATCCTATTGCTGTAGCTGCTGTTTAATAGAACTGCCCAGAGAGACATTCTAACCAGCAACTCGAACGTGACCTCAAAGCTTGAAACCTGCCTTTGTGTGAGTGTCAGTATCCAGGCTGTGTAGGTGGAAAGGCATTAATAACTCCTCCAGTAAGTAGTTATTTGAAAAAGGAAGGGGGTGATGGACATTGGAAATGTGTTAGATTGAGCGTACTCAAGGCTCTGTTGTCTGCCAGGATGTCAGTCTCTACACAAAACCACAGGTATTGCAGGGGTAAACCCAAATGCCCTGTTTGTGTCAGCACCTGGGGCTCTTGCAAGCCTCCAGTTAATGCTGCAATAGCAATTGTGCTGTGAGCTTGCGCAGGGATTTCACACACAGCTTTCACAGCTGCAATCGGCTGCAGTTGTCAGGCTCTCAGCATTTCTATTTCTCTGCTTCAGGAACACCTTCTAGGTCTGTCATGGCACCTCTTACAGGTCTCTTATTAGGATGGACCACCAAGAGGAGCACAAATTTGGAGCAGACATGGCAAAAAATACCTCATTCATTCTCCAGCATGTGAGACTGGGGGCATTTTCAGGGTGATGGCCCCCAGTCACTGTTGGGTAATACCTTGGCATTATGCAGAGTCCCCCCACAGGATCAGGGTGGATGAGGATATACAAGAGATGATGGTCTTGAAAGAGTATTTGGAGGAGCTTATATAAGAAATCATGAGCCCCAAAGACTCTTGCATGAGGTTATTATAGGAAAATAGATTTGAAGAGTAAGAAACTGGATTTGATGACACAAGATGCCCTTTCTAATCCTTTGTTCCTATGAGCAGCGGTCAACAGAGCTGAGGCTGTGCTGTCTTACTGAGGGACATCAGAGAGGTCGCCTCACTTCATGTTTGTTTTTTGTAAAATGATCCTGACCTCTCTTGGAGGGTGTTTTGTGAGTTAGGAATGAAAAGCACAATGTGAAAGGCAGGCATTAGTATTACTTGGAAGCGAACTTTACTGTAAAAGCAGATAAAAATAATCAAACAAATGCTCCTCTTTCTTGCTCTGGTAAATAATTTTAAAATAGTTGTGTTGCAAGGATTTTCCCCTTTCTCTGTCACACAGGCTGTAATAGGAGCTGAAATGTACCGTGTGTGGGTTTAACACTGAACATTTCCTTTTGCCTGTTGCTGTCAGTGTCTCCTGTCGGAACATCCTAATGAGCACCTACGTCGTTAGTAATAAACAGCCTTACATTTTGTCTTACTAACAAAAATCAAAGATGCTATTATGTGTAACAATCTGTTATGTTTGATATTTCTCAGGTAACAGAGTGTTTGAAACACATCCCATGACATAAGAAAGTCCCCAGAAAGAAAGACCTCATTCTCCAGTTCTCTCAGTGGCCCTGGAGCTGCAACTCAACAATTTTATTATGTTCAACAAATATGGGATTCTTCTATGAAAAATTTTATTGGACCTTTGGATATCATCAAGGTTGAATTTCAGCTAAGACAACTAACAGCACTGGTTCAGATATTGCTCTGAGTAGTAACTCATATTTTTCTGAATTGTATACTTGGGAATGAATCTTTTTAAATTGTCCCTTGGCCTAAATTGAAATAAAGTGCTAGCAAAATCAGGTAGCTACTGTGTTTTGGTACATTACAAAGTGTTTACTCCATGTTATGCGTTTTGATTCAGTTACTGTGTGTGGGCTATTATATCATACAAAAAATTAGATCTTTTAGCAATTTGACAATTCATATAAACCAAGGCTTTGTTACAGACTAGCCAAGATAAACTTAAAGAGCTGCTGTTTTGTCAGGTGAGTTCTATAACAAGAAATTTAAAGCTTCCTAAGATCTTTCTTTTCTCTGTTCTTTTAATGCATTGTGACAAGGCTTCTGGAGCTTAAGGTGATATAAAACCCTTCTGCAAAACAATTAATATGTAAAGTTGCTAATGGGATAGTAATCACATTAGGGTTAAACTGACACAAATGGCTGCTTGTAGCAACAAACAACACGAGTGGGAGCCACCCACATGGAACGAACTCGTGGCTGGAAACGCTGTGTTTGGAGCCCTGCACAGGAAGAAACCCACCACGGGTTAGTTGTTGATTGCTAACATGTAATAAAGGAGAAGAAGTCGAACAACAGAGAGAGAGAGAAGAAATAAGTCTGCAAGATATCCATGAAAAGAGAATCTGTAATCTTGCTCTGGAATTGCAGGGAAATGACAACTGAAGCTTTCTGTGTCCCCTGAAATCAAGATGAAAAACAAAGTCTTTCAATAAGAGCCATGCTGAGGGAGGCCATATGGTGCAGACTCTACCTGAGGGCTTGAGGAGGTCAGGGTCAGGTCCCAACCAGAGCCCAGCAGTGCTTTGCATGCCTGACAGCACAGTGTGGTCAGGGTCCAGAACAAATTAAAGTGCTCCATGATAGTCTGTCCTAGAGGGTTGCAACCTGACCCAAGAACTGTGAAAATGCACAATGGATGAACTCTAATAATTTTCCTTAACTCTCTCTCTGCTATGTGCTGCAGAGCAATTCAATCCCTTGGTTTGAAATCTTTATGCTAGTCAAATATAAATAGAAACACTAGAACACAATCACTGACATTTGATTCCAGTTTTTACTGTGGTGCTGTTAAAATATTACTCCTGAAAAGTCAGTTTGATTCGAAGATTTACCATGACCCAGTGTGGCCCTCAATATCTTCCATTAGCCCTTTTAAAAACTGTACAGATTGTAACACTATTTCTTTTTTCACACAGAGTAAATGAAAAGTCCATTTTGATGGTGTCTGCACTTTTTAGACCCTGAACAAGGGCTGAATAAACAGGAAACGAAGGTCAGGGAGCAAGAAGTGACAGAGAAGGTAAGGTGAGCAGACAGAATGGTCAAAGATGCTGGCAAATGGGCCAACACAAATGGTGTTCCTTTTGCACTTTAGTATTTAAAGTAGCTGTGATTTCGCATAGAAGGAAGACAACGGTTGTGCTGCTGGGGAGCGCAAAAAGAAAAACCTGAGCATCAGTTACATTTGCAAGGTATTTTCAAACCTGATTCTCAATGGCTTCCTATTAAGTATGGAATATTCTGTATTAGTTCTGTAGGCTGTGATGAGCGGGCGCTGCGCCAACCATTTTGCATGGGGGCTGCCGAGGAGATGAGTGCTGAGCTCCATGGAAGATTTCATTTGTGTAAATGAGGAGGCCGTTATCACAGCACTAAAGGTCCTGCTTTTAAAAAAAGCCTCCTGTGGCATTATGCACAAAACAACCTATTTATGCAGCATGAAAATATTTATGTGCTTCGCTCCAGCTTAAAAAGGGAATTTGCAATAGATGAGGGACATGAGAAAGGATTGGAGTGAGAGATAAGGAGAGATTAGAAAAGGCAGATCATGAAGTACATGACAGCAGTATGTGGAGTAAACCCCCACCTTTTTTTAAGACCTGGGCCTTTAGGATGGTGTCTGGATCATTTATATAATTCCTATAGACTTAATTTTCCACAGGCAGGGAGCTGTATGCAAAGATGCAGCTGCTGGAAACGTGAGGAGATGCTGTGCTGAAGGCACTGATGGCCTTTGTAACCAGCTTTGTCCTTTCCAACCTCAATCACTTGTCCTCATGGGGTCATGCCCAAGCTTGCCTTTGAGCTGGGGGGATGCTGCAGAGTGCTGAGCTCCCCCACCCACAGCACAAAACATGGGAAAAATTGCTTGTGCAGGGACTCAGATGGACATGGCACAAGTGGAGTGGTTCCCATGGGGTGGCTTCCTAGCAGAACAGAGCTAACTGTGCTCACTGTTTACACAGCTCAGACCCTCGTTCCCTGTCCTTACACACAAGCAAGTTTCCCAGGCTTTTTCAATTACTAAGGGTTTGTTTTGCTGAAGTGAGCAGTTCTCTAAAGGGCTGCAGAGGCTATGCCTGTGTGTCTCTATTTTCATTAGCAAACCACCTGTGGTTCAACCACTGTCTCCTCGCTGACTTGCAGGAGCAGGCTGGGAGCAGGATGTGGCTCCACATGCCCTCTGTCCCCTGCCTGCCCTGAAACAGCAATTGTGGAAGAGGTGTCTCAGGGATAGTTATTCCCACACACAGAACAACAGACGGGTTGTTGGGAGCACACAGCTCATGAGGACACCATCAGCCCATGCATCCAGTCCCTGCCATGCCAGGCAGCTGAAGTGCACAGTCCCATTTGACAACCACGTGGCACCCACCTGGTGACACACGTATACTCCTGGAGCTGGGAAAAAAGATTAGGAATGGCCTCTAAAGACTTTGGCACACGGCAACTATTTTGTGCAGTGCAAGGTCCTGGGTACTCGGCTTCTGCACATCCCTGCTTGGTTTTCCAGTGTGTTCATCTGACCACAGTTATGTTTCTTTGTGCAGAAAGGCAGCTTTGGTGGCTTATGGTTGTGCAGTGAATCTGGTTGCACTATGGTACGCAGGTATTCTACAGTGCTTTCAGCAAAGGCTGTGAGTACAGGATGAGGATATTTGTTAATTACCTTTCAGCAATTCAGCATTGTTCTTGCTCCAGATGCAGATGCACCAGCTCCTGGTTCTCCATGGGACAGCTGATGCCACCCCAGTAGCTCAAAAGAACTTGTGTTTTGACAGATCAATGGGCTGGGAACGGACTGTGTCAGCTCCTTGAAGACTTCATGTGGTATTTCAGAAATTGGCTCTGTGCTGCTTCTAACCTCCCCCAGCACATATACACCCACACCCAGGCATCAGGCTCTCATTTGACTTTGTGCTCAAATAACACAATATTTTGTTTTTAATTAATGTTGGAGAGAGGGGAAAGTGTTCTGTTGGTCTCTGTGGGAGCCTGACTTGGCTGCAGACTCAGGACGAAGCTAAGACGGAGGGTCCTGGCTGCAGTGGGGAGAGTCAAGGTCAGTTCCTGGCATGTGACAGTACCCTGAAATGTGACCAGGGACTGAGCACCTCCTGAAATAGAAATACCTGAATCCATGTGGGATCTGGGGGTGATCTCACACCCTAGCTGTAAATTAATAAAAATCGTAATGTCCCAGTACTCACAGAGCTAATGAAAAACTTTGAAGCCCTAATACACACGTAGTGACAGCCATGAAAGTACCAAAATAATTTCTATCTCAGCTTTCTGTGTCTTCCTCTCCACTCCCCACCTCTCGCTGTCACTGTGGTCGATGGCTGCTGAAAAGCCTTGTCCGATTCCTGCATCTGGTTCCTGACGTACAGGCCAGCAGTGCTGTGAAGGAGAAAACGCTGCTGCTCATGTAAGCTGTCCTGTGTTTTGGCAGGGCTGTGAGTTTCAGAACAGAGTGATATATTTCAGCTCTTGTGAAATTTCTGAATAATCAGCTCATCAAAAAATATCATGCAGAGTTCCCTTGTAGTCCTCTCCAACTTGCCACCTCTCCTGCCAATAGCTCCATAGGGTGACCACAGCTTGGCAGAGCCCATTAGCAGAGCTCTGCAAAATCACTCATGAGCAGAGCTGGCTGGAAAATATAGTTTTCCTTCCTGGGGGGAAAAAAATAAAAGATTTGGTGGGGCAGGGGAATGTTTGACTTGGCATTTCAAGATGAAGATTTTCTCCACTGCTCCCTTCAGCACCCTCTTCTGCTCCCCTCTGCACCCCACCCTTTTTCCTCCCAACTCCATATTTTAGAAGGTGACTCCAAGAAAATAAAAATTCTGTTTAAAGCGGCAAAGACATTGGATGCTGTTTGATCTGCTGGTGACCTCTTCCTGACCCCCAGAGCCAGAAGTCTCGCTGCAGTACAGGCATGAACACACTGGCACCTTCTCCACCTGAGACTCCTGAGCAAGTGGTCCCTGGACCTGCACATTTTTCTGCAACTGCCCCGTTTCTTAGTTTTAGTTTCTTTAAGATACTCCTCTCCTCAAACATCTCAAAAACCTGCTGTTTTTGAGCTGGCAACCATATCTCTGTGCATGGCAAGATGGTGGTAAACCCATCCAGTGGTGCTGTGGAGACAAGGGGCCAAGCAACCAGAGTCACTGGCCTGCCATCAGCTGCTCCTCTGGGTCCTGGGCTGCCTCCAGGCATGTCCCTCCCTGCTTTGCTATTCATTCTGGACACGTGTCTCTCAGTCCCAGGTGATCGTTGCTTTGGCTGGGAAGAGCAGACTTCCTCGCTGTGTCCTCTAATGATGCTCAGAGCTGTGATGCTGCAGGGAGGAGGCCAGGCTGGCTGCAGACCTTGTCCCTAAGGCAGGCGGCACATACGTACTACGGAGGAAGGAGGTGGAAAAATCAATAGTGCATTAGGATTAAAGCTGTGGCATGAAAGCCTTATATGGCCAGGATTATGGTATTTTTTAGGTCTGTGGTAGCTGCATTGACTGTGGCACTTGGTGTGATGTGGGTTTAGTACTTTTGTCGCATTGCAAACCCCTGTATGCACATGTGGGACACAATTGAATCCTCCAGTGAGTGGTGGCTCCAACACAGGTTTTGAGCACCACCTGTCCCCTCCTTGGATCTGCCTCGACCTGGCTACAGCTGCCGAGCATTTGCTCTGTCCCTCTTTACTTGTGTCACCCTATCTCTTTCTGCTCAGGCTTTTGTTATTTCTTTTGTCACCATAGTGACAGAAAAAGAGTGATGATTGCTGGAGTAATTT